TCAATTATACCCAACATCAGCGAATGAAACAGGATGCCATACACGGACTGATGAATTGATCCAGGACAATGCATTTCATCTGGAGATTGATTTTCTTCAATGAAAACACAATACTAGCTTGTTTTTGATAGATAAATTGGGCTGATTATGCTGGCCTTAGTGACTAACGATGATGTTGCAGACCGGGATAATTCTATGTCCATGCCCATCTACTCGGAAACTGAGCTGGGGTTTCACCACTTTTAAAACTATTCCAGCTTTGTGATGGATGGAACACTAGAAAAGGGCTTCACGTACTGTGCCTGGGGGAATCAAACCCAGGCCTTCAGCATGAAGGCTGGAGGCTTTCGAAACTAACGTTGCTTAGAAATATGTTATATTGTGAATATAGACAAGGCTTCATTCCATAAAGTTTTTTTTCACTACAACTGTTTTAAGTGTGTGGTAAAGTACGGGATTCAATCGTATAAGTGCTGCAACTGTCGTGTGTGTGTGGTAAAGTACGGGGTTACAATCATCTGTGCACTACAGCTGTAGTAAGTGTGTGGTAAAATCGGGGTTACGATCGTCTTAGCCCTACGACTGTTGTAAGTGTGTGGTAAAGTATGGGGTTACTATCATCTGTGCACTACAGCTGTCGTAAGTGTGTGGTAAAGTTCACAGTTATGATTGTCTTAGCGCTATGACTGTCGTAAGTGTGTGGTAAAGTACAGGGGTTACGATCGTCTTAGGGCCTGTGACTGTCGTAAGTGTGTGGTAAAGTTCACAGTTATGATTGTCTTAGCGCTATGACTGTCGTAAGTGTGTGGTAAAGTACAGGGGTTACGATCGTCTTAGCCCTACGACTGTCGTAAGTGTGTGGTAAAGTTCACAGTTATGATTGTCTTAGCTATGACTGTCGTGAAGTGTGTGGTAAAGTACAGGGAGTTACGATCGTCTTAGGGCCTGTGACTGTCGTGAAGTGTGTGGTAAAGTTCACAGTTATGATTGTCTTAGCTTATGACTGTCGTGTAGTGTGTGTGGTAAAGTAAAGGGGTTACGATCGTCTTAGCCCTACGACTGTCGTAAGTGTGTGGTAAAGTTCACAGTTATGATTGTCTTAGCGCTATGACTGTCGTAAGTGTGTGGTAAAGTACGGGGTTACTATCATCTGTGCACTACAGCTGTTGCAAGTGTGTAGTAAAGTACGGGGGTTACAATCGTCTTAGCCCTACGACTGTCGTAAGTGTGTGGTAAAGTTCACAGTTATGATTGTCTTAGCGCTATGACTGTCGTAAGTGTGTGGTAAAGTACGGGGTTACTATCGTCTTAGCCCTATGGCTGTTGTAAGTGTGTGGTAAAGTACGGGGTTACGATCGTCTTAGCCCTACGACTGTCGTAAGTGTGTGGTAAAGTTCACAGTTATGATTGTCTTAGCGCTATGACTGTCGTAAGTGTGTGGTAAAGTACAGGGGTTACGATCGTCTTAGCCCTACGACTGTCGTAAGTGTGTGGTAAAGTTCACAGTTATGATTGTCTTAGCGCTATGACTGTCGTAAGTGTGTGGTAAAGTACGGGGTTACTATCAACTGTGCACTACAGCTGTTGCAAGTGTGTAGTAAAGTACGGGGGTTACAATCGTCTTAGCCCTACGACTGTCGTAAGTGTGTGGTAAAGTTCACAGTTATGATTGTCTTAGCGTTATGACTGTCGTAAGTGTGTGGTAAAGTACGGGGTTACTATCGTCTTAGCCCTATGGCTGTTGTAAGTGTGTGGTAAAGTACGGGGTTACGATCGTCTTAGCCCTACGACTGTTGTAAGTGTGTGGTAAAGTTCATGGTTACGATTGTCTTAGAGCTATGACTGTCGTAAGTGTGTGGTAAAGTACTGGGTTACAATCGTCTTCGCGATTGTCTAAAAAATTGGAGTTACAATTATCTTGGTAGTTCGATCATCGTAAGTCTATGTTAAAAGTGATATACAGTAAAAAATGTGATATCATGTAAAGATGAATATCTTGAAAAAGAATTTTTGTTAAGTTGCCAAAATGGTATGCAATGTTATGCAAAAATGTTAAAAAACATCTCGTGTTCCCGAAATTCCTGACAGTTAACGAGCAGAGTTGACGTGACAGTGTTCAGTATAGTGTTTAGTAGATAAATAACATTCATCACTACCTGTGAAGATCGGGGTTAGAATTGGTCTTCAGTAATCCATGCTTGTTGTAAGAGGTGACTAACAGGAACGGGTGGTCAGGCTCACTGACTTGATTGACACATGTCATCATATCCCAATCATGTAGATTGATGCTCATGCTGTTGATCACTGGATTGTCTGGTCCAGACTTGATTATTTACAGACCGCCACCATATAGCTTGAATATTGCTGAGTGTGGCATTTAACAACAAACCAAAACCATGACATCTATAGACAATAGCACCAATAAAAATGTTGAATTTTCACACAATGTCCTTACACATATTTGCACATGTTAGTATTATCCCATGCTTAGCTGAGATAGCCTTGACAGCAGCACAGAAGGTGAAGTAGATCTTTCAAGCAGTTGTCACTGAAGAAAGATACAAGTTTCTAATTTCCAATGGATAAAATCCATTTTATTTTCGTTTTTTAAATGTCTTTTAAACAAGATGTTATGCTTTTGTTTACTTACTTCCAGACCACCTCCGTGGTGTAGTGGTTAGAGCGTCTGCCCGGAGAGTGGAAGGTCGTGAGTTCGATCCCCGACCGCGTCAAGCCAAAAGACGTTAAAATATGGTACTTGTTGGTCCCTGCCTGGCGCTCGGCATTAATGGGTACAACAAGGACTGGTCGGCTCGGAGTCAGTATAATGTGTCTGAGTGGGATATTCATGCTTAACTGCGGCATGGTATCTCAGTGGGCTAGCACTATAAAACCAGCTTAAGTCTGGGCTAGTGCAAGCAGTCGCACAAACACACGCATGCATGTAAGTCATATCAGCGAAATATCCTTAAGTACGACGTTAAACCCCATTTCACCTCACTTCAATACTGGTGGGTCATCGATGATAACTCTAACCTATACTGATGAACTTGATGCTGTGACCACTGACATGTCCATGGTGTATTTTGCTCACCTGTTAATTACAGGTAACCGTCATAAACTAAAATAATGAAGTTTGCCCTCAGACTTAAAGGTTGAAGTAAAGATGGTCCACTGACTTATCCATGGAGTTATAATTTTGTCATGAGCCCATAGATGATTGCAGTACATCAACATTTTATCAAATCACAAACTCTGTAATGTTTAAATCAAAATTCATATTTTTAAACCTTGCATGTTATCTGCTTTTATATGTATATGCAATTTGATGCCAACTGCATCTTCTTGACAGTAATATACAAACTTTTTAATCCATAAATAGATTTTCAAATATTTCTTGAAAATTTGGATTTACTCTCCAACAAAATGTCAGCATATTTTTTCTATCAATATGTTTGAAGTCTTTAATCTTTAATGTGAATATGATATATATCAAGTAGATCATCAAATATTTTGTTCACATTTTTAATTCATTTAAAAAACTACATGACATTTACAAAGTTTATAACAAATATGATATTTTTTAGTTAAAAGTTTTAATGTAAATCTGTGTTATATCTCAACAATTTAATCTTTGTATTGCCCACAATGCATCAATTTCTTGTTCCCAGTGAAACAGGCTATAGCCAATTAAAAGCCCATCCTCCCCATTTTCCAAATAATCGGAATAACTTTTACAGCCTCCAACTTTTATACAGAACTGCAGTGACACTATTGATCCATGGGTTTATAGTTGTGATTTTCTCGTTGAATATAGAAGCAATTTGCACATTTTAATGAAATCTAAACATGATATCTGTTGTTATTAAATGGCGACATCTGTTTTAAACATTGTTTTCGCGTGGAGTACAGTTGTAGTGGAGGGCAGGTATATGCCAAACCACCTGCTTTTAGTTATAGAGAGAAGCATATTAAACATGTACCTGCATTGAGATATTGGGAGAGAGAAGGGCATATTAAAACATGTTCGAATCCTGCTCATTTGATTAATGATAATAGAAATAAATATTTATGAGAAATGGAATGTTTTATTAATGCAGTGTCCACCAAGATTCTAGTTTGCAATTTCCATTTCGTTGAGTTATTCATCATGTTACAAAATATTGATTGCAACGAAAATTTATGTCCAAAACGGAAAAGAAAAAAAACTTTCATCAGAGAGTATTATAAAATTCTCTTTGTGTTTGAATCGATAGAGCAAAGACGCTCAAACTACATTGATTTGCTTGGGAGGAGATTACGTAACCAAGCAACGACACAATGCTATAAAAAGTGAAATAGACTATAGTAAGCGATCCAGCTGTTTTAAAATTTGCATTCAGACAGTTGGAAAAAACTCATACATTTTTAGAATCACAGTGACATTTCTCATAGGCTGTAGCTTTTATCAGACTGGCTTGCACATTGCTGCAAATTATGAAAAAAACTGCTGACCCACTTTTTCCAATCTTCAAGTCCTATCAACATTATAACTATTTTTTCCTACAATATTCAGCCTTTGCTGGCGAACAAGCATATTCAATTCTTCCTGTAGCTGATTTAATTTTTGACAGCAGTGCGCGATACCTAAAGAAAATAAACAATCTTTATTTGTGTTTAATTAGAGTGGAATACAGCACATATTGAATCAAGTCGAGCTAAATTGGTTTCCAGCTGAAATAGAAAAAAAATCGCTAGCATATTCAAAGGAAGTCTCTTTTTTTAATCATGAAGGGTTTATGATTGAAAGGAATAAGGCATTTTTTCTCAGTCGCCTGAATTCCTTTTTTATTTCAGACGCAAATAGGACTCCAGTTACATGCATTCAATTTGAGCTAGCTAGGCTCGATTTCAGACTGGGAAATTTTGCTCAGCTAACCTACAGTTATGTGGCAAGATTTGGATCCGTATTTCCACAACTTTAAACTGTTCTTAACTTACTGGTTAATGTCCTCCAACAGGGAAGAAATGTCCGATTCCGTTCCGGGACAAGGCAACCAGGAACAGTCCCAACAGTCCCAAGATAACTCCTCGGAACCTTCCACAACAACAAACCGTGAAAAAACATTCATCTGTCCGACATGCCTGAAAGGATTCCGAAGCAAGCAGCAATTGAACCAGCATAGCTTGGTCCACTCGGGGATCCGCAAGTACGAGTGCAGCTATTGTGACAAGGCCTTCAAGCAACTGTCTCATCTTCAGCAGCATCAGAGGATTCATACAGGTTGGTTCAAGTCTCATTCGGGGTTGTTACGGCAGTTTCTTCTAACTATCCCGTCCCGTATCTGGTAGCAGGGGTCTTTCAGCATTCCATAAATATCTGCAGTTCTCATTGATGGTGTTGTGTTTATGCATGCAAGACTTTGATTGTTTTGTAATTTGATAATTTGTTGTTTCCTTCAAGCTGATGTTTGTCATGTGATAAAGAAAATGTTTTCTTTAGCAGGGATGAAGTGATATAATGAATCTGATGAAAGAAGGAATATACCTTCATTAGGTGTATTTTAATGATATTCTGTTGCTTCTGTGAACCATATGTAATTTCTCAGGGGATGGTGTCAGTATTACTTTTACTCAAAATGTTTTGTTTCAAATGTTTGCATGTCCACGTTTTATTGAGTATTTCTCAGGACTTCTACTGACTAACACAAATGATTGATTGACTTAGTCTCTGGGTTTTATTTTAATATTAATATTTAGTAGAAATTATTGCATTTTAAGTACCTGTGGAGAAATTTAAGAAATTTAACAGCAGGTGCCTATTCTTTTTATAAAGAGAATGGCATTCGTTAATGCGTTCTGAAAGGAAATCAGTATTGATTTTAATATTTTATCAGAAATAAATTGTTTTGAAAATGGCTAATGTCATTTCATAACAGATTACAATCAATAAATTAAATGAATATGCTCCTTGTGCGACTATTTGCAATGTAATTTCTGTCTTGTGCTGCAGTTTAGTTCTCTTTATTTTTTAATCATAAAACCATGTATTTGGGAAGATTTTGCTTGATATTTAAATAATAATTCCCTAACTTCCTCACCTGCTGGAAGTCTGGATGTCATCATTAGGCTCATACCTTTCTCATTGTTCCCTCCCCCTCTCTCTCTCTCCCTCCCTCCCTCTCTCTCTCTCTCTCTCTCTCTCTCTCTCTCTCTCTCTCTCTCTCTCTCTCTCTCCTCTCTCTCTCTCTCTCTCTCTCTCTCTCTCTCTCTCTCTCTCTCTCTCTCTCTCCTCTCCTCCCTCTCTCTCTCTCTCTCTCTCTCTCTCTCTCTCTCTCTCCCTATCTCTCTCTATATATCTCCCTCTCTCTCTCTCTCTCTCCTCTCTCCCTCTCTCTCTCTCCCTCTATCTCCCTCTATGTATCTCTCTATCTCTCTCTCTCTATCTCTGTCTCTATGTCTGTCTCTATGTGTCTCTCTCCCTCCTGTGTATGTATCATCATCATCATCATCATCATGGTGGTGGTGGGGTAGCCTAGTGGTTATAATGTATATATATATATATATATATCATGATATAAGACCCAGGTTCGATTCCCCACATAGGTACAATGTGTGAAGCCCATTTCTGGTGTTCCAGCCGTGATATTGCTGGAATATTGCTAAAAGCGACGTAAAACTAAAACTCACTCACTCAATCACTCATCATCATCATCCCCCTTGCCACCACCAACACTACCACACCACCAGCCTCCAGCAACACCGTCGCCACCAACATCCCCACCATTGTCATGTAATGGTATCCAGATCTATTTTAATTGTCCCTTTAACTTGGAGGCATGTTAGTCATTACGCCAAAGTAATCCCATTACATGTGAGATAGGAAATGAACATAATCTTCGCAGAGGGTTCAAAATGATCAATCAAATATCAACCTGGTGCATTTGAGGGGGTACGTGTGAGGTGGGGGAGAGAGGTATATGTGTGTAGTTGCATTCCTCTGTAAATGACGCGATGCATCATACAGATGTCCCTGTCAAGATTCAGCTCATGTCAAGAATTGTAGTTTGATCTGCTCCAGTAAGATATGGTTTGGTTCAGTAGCATGTGTTTCGTTAGCTATAGATCTCTTCCACGTGTTGCAGATTACCATGGTCTAAGGTTTCATAACTTTCATGTAAATTCTGAGCCCTAACCATAGATTCAAACAATCAAATGGAGTTTCAAGGCTGATTTTTGTGGCATGAGATAATAAATGTTCTCGACATGGTTCTGTCCAGTTTACCGATTTACTGCATTATGTGAATGTGGCTGACAATGTATGAGAGAGATGGCGTAGCCTAGTGGTTAGAGTGTTCACTTGTCACGCCGAAGACCCAGGTTCAGTTCCCTGCGTACAATGTGTGAAGCCCATTTCTGGTGTCCCCTGCCATGATAGGGCTGGAATATTGCTAAAAGTGGCATAAAACCAAACTCACTCATACATCTACTCAAGACGTCTTTTGTAGCGGGATGTTTACCATATACGACAGAATCTAGGTGCTATGTTTGACATGCATGTAGTCATGGAATATTCATATCCCATGAATATATCATGTATATATTCAATACCTACAGCCAGAGTTCACATATTTGTCGTATTTATCATTTTTTCCAGATGTGGGTTGTATCGATAAAGAAATAAACCTGTGATATGCAGAACAGGAATGCCATCAGCCAAGGGCGTGTTGTCAGTGCACAGGCGTTTTATCTTATATCTAATACCGACATGCTTATCAATAGTGGCTCCACCGTTTTTTCAAGTGTTTATCACAGGAGGTATTGATGTTTAAGTCAGTGTCAATCCTGCTTGTAGCCATTCATTCCTCATGTGGGGTGGTGGGGTAGCCTAATGGTTAAAGCATCCATTTGTCACGCAGAAGACCTGGTTTGATTCCCCACATGGGTACAATGTGTCAAGCCCATTTTTGGTGTCACTTGCCATGATCTTGCTGAAATATTGCTGAAAGCGACATAAACCCATACTCACTCACTCACTCACTCACTCATCATGTAGTCATTGTTTTATGGGTTATAGTCTGATGGGCTACACTGGGTTTTAGTCTGGTGTGTATATAGTGTACAGGAAGTGGGTACAGACAAACCTTGGCAGATAGTGTACAGGAAGTAGGTACAGACAAACCTTGGCAGATAGTGTACAGGAAGTGGTTTCAGACAAACCTTGTCAGATAGTGTACAGGAAGTGGGTACAGACATACCTTGGCAGATAGTGTAAACCTTTATTGATAGTGTACAGGAAGTGGGTACAGAGAAACCTTGGCAGATAGTGTACAGGAAGTGGGTACAGACAAACCTTGGCAGATAGTGTAAACCTTTATTGATAGTGTACAGGAAGTGGGTACAGACAAACCTTGTGAGATAGTGTAAAGGAAGTGGGTTCAGACAAACCTTGGGAGAAAGTGTACAGGAAGTGGGTGCAGACAAACCTTGGCAGATAGTGTAAACCTTTATTGATAGTGTAAAGGAAGTGGGTTCAGACAAACCTTGGGAGAAAGTGTACAGGAAGTGGGTACAGACAAACCTTGGCAGATAGTGTACAGGAAGTAGGTACAGACAAACCTTGTGAGATAGTGTACAGGAAGTGGGTACAGACAAACCTTGGGAGATAGTGTGTACAGGACAAACCTTGGGAGATAGTGTACAGGAAGTGGGTACAGACAAACCTTGGGAGATAGTGTACAGGAAGTGGGTACAGACAAACCTTGGGAGATAGTGTACAGGAAGTGGGTACAGACAAACCTTGGGAGATAGTGTACAGGAAGTGGGTACAGACAAACCTTGGGAGATAGTGTACAGGAAGTGGGTACAGACAAACCTTGGGAGATAGTGTACAGGAAGTGGGTACAGACAAACCTTGGGAGATAGTGTACAGGAAGTGGGTACAGACAAACCTTGGCAGATAGTGTACAGGAAGTGGGTACAGAGAAACCTTGGCACATAGTGTACAGGAAGTAGGTACAGACAAACCTTGGGAGATAGTGTACAGGAAGTGGGTACAGAGAAACCTTGGGAGATAGTGTACAGGAAGTGGGTACAGACAAACCTTGTCAGATAGTGCACGGGTTAGTCTGTGGGTTATTGGTGAGTCTAGTGAGTGATGGATATTTACCGGGAGGCACAAGACTACCTGCCAATATTATTGGTTATTTAGACTTTGGATTAAGAATCCCACAGTATCTCTTCCAGGTCAGGGCAGTTGTCGGACTATCCATCTAGTTTGTTGTTAACAGACATGACAATAATATCTCTCTTAGTTCTTGTCACAAATAATATACCATGTAGAGTGATGTTGGTTTTGTTCAGCAGTCCGTAATACTTGAGTCTGAACCAGACGATCCAGTGATTGATGTTAGGAACAACAATACCTGCAGTCTGGGTACGAGCTTGACCAACCAATCCATTTGTTTGCCTCTCCTGTTCAGCAGGAGTCCTGAGTTCGAGCCAGGTTTCCCCGCAGGGTTGTCTGTAGGTAGACTACGATGTTGGTGAAAGACATCCCCAGGATATGGGGTTGTGTGGATCTATCACTTCATTATCATCAGCTCTCTGTTGACGTCCCTCCACCTGATTTTGTGTCATGCCCAAATGATGTGGAGTATGGTTCATGCTGTCAACCACTGGTTTGGCTGGTCCAAACTTTGGTTATTCAACAGTTCCATGATGTAACAGGAATATTATTGACTGTTTCCCACCACTCTGGATCAGCCAGGTACTCTACTAATACAGTACAGTGTTAGTCAGGTCTAGCCTCCACACACTGGACTTGCCAACCCTGTTTACCTATTTCTACATCTTAATGGTGAAGATTTAGTAAGGCGCAAATTGTTAAAGCTGTCGTTAAACTGTGTCTACCAACATATGTTTGGCAGTTTGCATAAAATTAAGAAACATTTTTTTAAGTATTAAGTCAGTCATAATATGAACCAGATTCATATGGAGGGTTGTGCTTCAGTTAACTGAACTTGATACCATTCAGTCTGGCCACTCAGCTGTACCAATGGCCACAGCAGGTAGCTGTGCAGGGTTGTCCCCCTTGGCAGTGCTAGGATCTGCTGTTCATGGTTTTATGATCAAGGGTCCCCCAATTAGGGTCCCTGGTCTGCAGAGTCTGTTGGTTTCACTAAGGTCGAAAACAGTGTTGGCTAATCCAGAACAATTCAAATTCAGAACTAAATTCAGGTAGCAACAAAATCCATTTCAAATTAGAAAACTTATTTTCAGCGA